GTGTGTGTGTGTGTGCACAACTACCGTTTTGATCAATTTTCGTACTAGAAAATAAATGCTAGCTCTAAGAGCTATAGAGATATGATAGATCTCTCTAGAGCTCAAGCTTTAGTCTGTTGTTGTTGTTCTAATGCATGTGCAGTGACTTCGTAATGACGTGAAATGAATTTGTGTTAAGATCATTGTAATTAGCATCTATAGTATAAGCGTTCTTTAATTGCAAGATGATGACTCTACTCATCAGTTAGTCTCGTTATGCTTTTTCACGAACTGTGTTATTTGAAATTGAAAAGTACGCAGGATATCTAATAGCGTCTATATTAAAGAGTTTGAAAGTCGAAAATTCAAGCTAGGTGCTCGATCTGAAGTTAAAAAACTAATATTTTATAATGTGTTGTTTCTTTTTATTGGAATTAACGAAACTGATTTGTATGCTATTTTTTCACGAGTGTAAATGTGTAGGTTCATAAATATTTTTTTTCGAGTAGTGGTATCGAAGTTCAATCTTATTTTTAGGTATATCGGCAATGTTGTCAGAAGACGTGAACGAAATGATAGTGCAAGCGATGATGATCGAGCGTTTGAAAAATGTAGGGTAACGTAACTTTGTCTGTTGATAGTAATAAATATCAGTGAGATTGTGTTTCTAGTTTTACAAGAACAACGTGAGTCAACAACATCGAAGAAACTATCTGCAGTTTTACCTGTTTCGAAGGAAATGAAAGGTTCGAAAAAGAATGATAGGTAAGAAAATTTTATGTTTTAGAAAATTTGACTAACATTTGAAAGTGATTGAATAACTGTGTTCTATTAAATAATTTATTCCATTGTATTTTTTCATTCAGTCTTGACGACTTTATTCATGATTCGACTGATAGTAGTATTGAACAAACATTCTTATCTGTTCCAACATTTTATGCAAATGTTGATCGTCTATTGTCAACAACAACAAAAAATAACGATCGAAGGAAGATAACAAAAAGAACAACATCGCCTCCAGTCAAGTTGAGTCATGTATATCGAAAGTAAGAAGAGTGGTTCATGTTTCAAGCGCAAAATAACGACAATTGTTCTTGAACGAATTTAGATTAGAAGATGCTTATGCATCGGACGAAACTGATGATGACAATGATGAAGAAAAAGTTTCTGAGTTGAAAACGAGTGAGAATACAGCCGAACGAAAGTATGTTTCAAAATCATGCGAGTAGAAACTAGAGACATAGTCAGCCTGATTTCTTACACTTTTTTTCAGTAATAGCAATTTATGTCTAGATGATATTTACGCATCCGATGCTAGTGATCGGTCATCATCACCCATTTCGAGTCAATCGAGTAAATCATATTCCTCGGCATTGTTATTCGAAAATCCCATCACAAGAGCAAATGATACACCAAAAAATACACCATTGAACAATCGTCGAAAAAATCAAACACCACAAGAGAAATCTACCGTTAAGCGTCAGGGTATGTATCTGTTTAATTTTATATTTTTTATATTTCAGTTTTATTCATTACTCTATTTCAGAGGTTACACTATTAAAGCATAATTTTCTAGAATCATTATCTAACAGTGTATCCAACCGTGAAAAACATCCAGATGCATTACAGTTGAGTATTACAGGCTCGCAAGAAAAAACGTGTCTGTCTATCTTATTAATTTTAGATATTGTTCAAACTTTAAAAAGACTCGAAATGATCTGGCACAAAAATTATTTGAAATATTCGATCGCGATGTCTTCTCATCACAGGTATTTCTTGACTCATCTGTTATCTTTAAAAGAGAAATTAAACTGTTTGTTTATTAATTTTTTATCATTCTAACTTATGTTAAGTTGAGAAAAAGGCATTACACTGTAATGGAAAAGAAGTCATTGCCATTTTGTAAACGAATGTTCAGAGAATGTATCGTACGTTTTTAACTTTATTTAACTTGATAATGGTCAAATATATACGTCAAAATATCGTACTTTAATTCTAATGTTAATTCTAACTGTATTTAACCTTTAAAATTCTATTAAATTAAATATGTTAGCTGCATTTATTCTTAATATTATCCGTACGATTTTCAAACGTTGATAACTTTATTCATTCGTTCCTAGTGTTACGATTCTGAAAGAAGCCAATTTTGTAGTTTTTCTTGGTGTTTTAGTTTTCGAAATCAGAGAAGGTGAAAGTACAATGGAGTTCTCGTTTAACAGCTACAGCTGGTCATTGTTCAACCAAAAACTCCGTGAAAGATGTACTGATAACCTTATCAGAAAAAGTGTGGGACACACCGGAACGATGTCGTGATACATTAATTCATGAA